AAACCCAAAATTCATCAACAGATAAACTTTTGTAGAAGTAATTGTGTTATACCAAGCACATATTTACTTTGAAAAATGCTATCTTGATACCAATTCATACACTATATCGTATTTTACTATTCAACAATATCATTAACAGTAAAATATTATAATAATAATAATAATAATAATAATAATAATAATTTTTTTAAAAAAAATATATTTTTTAAATATATATTTTAATTTATAGATTTATGGATAGTAATATAAAATTGTGTGATTAACTAACATTTTATCTTTTATTAATCAATTTTATTTTACTACAAAAATTTATTTTTAATATCAGAGTGTTTATTATCCAACTTCATAACTTTAATAATCAATCTTTTATATTTTATTAACCAACTTTATTTTACTACAAAAAATTTATTTTAATATCTAAATATTTATTAATCAACTTAATAACTTTATTAATCAATATTTTATATTTCATTAACCAACTTTACATTAATACTAAAAATTATTTTTAGTATCTTGACGTATACTAACCAACTTCATAACTTAATTAACCAACATTTTACTTTTCATTAACCAATTTTGTTTACAACTAAAAATTATTTTTAATATCTGAATGTTAATTAACCAACTTCACTGTTTTATTAACTGATTTTTTATTTTTCATTAACCAATTTTGTTTTACAACTAAACTATTTTTAATATCTGAGCATTTATTAATAATTTCATCATTTCATTAACTAATTTTTTATATTTCAATTATGTTTTACTACTAAATTATTTTTAAAATTTAAATATTTATTTATCAATTTTATCACTTAATTAACCAATCTTTTATATTTCATTAATTGACTTTATTTTACTAATAAAAGTTATTGTGCGTGAATTATTCATTTTACTTTTCATGCACTACTCATCGTATTGTTCATACATTGCTCATTGTACTTTTCATAAAATATATTATTTAATTTTAAAAAAAATTATTGATCTCCATATTGGTGAACAGTATTATACAATATAGTATATGAATATGATTTTAAGATAACATTGATAATTTACTTTTAACCATTGAATCCATAAGTTCCACAATAGAAACACTGAACGAATTAAATTAAAATTAATATTATATAACAAAATATACATATAGTAAAACACAAAGGAAAAAATATGATAGACCAACGTACCCATTTCTTAATAGGATTTAAAAAAAAATTATAAGTATATATAAAGAATATTAAATAATTCTTTGATTAAAAATTAACTAGAGCAAAGGAATGATCATCCTACAACTAAATGACAGATGACATAACGAAGATGCAAACTCTTTCAATACTTTCTATTTATAGAGTTAGATGGGTTTGAACATAGAAACAACTCTATATCCATATTCTTAGAAACAACCATAAAAAAAAGAGAATTTGAAATTTATTTAAATTTTAATTTGTTTTAATTGAATTTATGGAATGGTTGTTCCTTTTTCTCTGTACTATGACGTGGAATTCTCTCTTAAGATAAAGATAATTAGATTTAAAAGCATACAAAAGAAGGATTTTTTTCTATTGACACTGTTTATCATGTTCAGTTTAATGGTTCCTCTCCTTTTCCTACAACAGAGAACATGATCATTCATCTGTTATGGAACAACTTCGCTCTTTCTAAATTGGTGATTTTTTCCTTAAAATTTTGGTAAGATAGACTCTCTTCTAGAGTGAAGTTGACTAAAGTGGTTGACACAAAATGGATTTGGTTGAATTGATTTTCCATTTTTTGTGCCACTTATGAGTTAACTTTTTTTTAGTATGGTAAAAGATCTTCCACTAATTGGAACGACAGACGGTTCTTCTTAGTAATCATAGGTTTCACTTTTAGTCTTTTTTTTAGATGAAAGAACCAAATCTAACGGTGGTTTGATTATGATAGGATAAACTATAGTTTGGTTATTATTAGATATATATTAAAATAGGTGTATAAGTCCAGCTGTATTTTTTGTAATTGATTTTCTGTTGAAAATCTGTTAGGCTGTTAGTAATTGGTGGAGTTAGTTGTGAAAGTTGTTAGATTGATCCACTTGTAAAAAATAGTATATAGTTCTTATCTTCTGCTGTAAAAGAACTAAGTTTTGAAATTACAGAATCTACACAGAGTGTAGATTGTTGAATGCAGAACATTCTTTATCTTCTAACATGGTATCATCGTGATCGATCCATCCTCCTTCCGCTCGTCTCTCCTCTCTTCCCGGTGGTTTCTCACTACTTTCTGCGGCAACTCTGGTTCTTGTTCTTCATCCTCATCTCACTGCAACCATGGCGACTGATAATCAAGAATTACAGACCTCATTCACTTCCTTCTCCACTGGTAACAATGGATTTGGACCTCGACTCTCCATCAAGCTCCAAGAGAACAATTTCCTCCTTTGGAATCAACAGGTTGAAGGAATCATACTTTCTCACAAACTTCACAAATTTGTCATGAATCCGCAGATTCCCCCAATATTTGATTCAGAAGAAAATTGTACAGTGAACAAGGTTTCTGCTGCGTACGAATCTTGGATTGTGCAAGATCAAGCACTATTCTCATGGCTTCTCTCGACAATTTCAGAATCTATTCTTCCAAGAGTTCTTTCCTGCAAACATTCGTATCAGATTTGGGATCAAATCCACAAGCACTTCAATGTTGTGATGAAAGCTAGGGTTCACCAGCTACGCTCTGAGCTGAAAACCACCAAGAAAGGGAATAAGTCTATTTTTTAATATGTGCTACAATTTGGGCTATCGCTGATGCACTGCTTGCTATTGGAGATCCTATCTCAGACAGAGATCAAATTGATGCCATCCTACAAGGGCTTCCGGAGGAGTACAATCTATTTTTCATGATGACTTATGGCAAAGGTGAATTGTCCTCCATTTATGATGTTGAAGCTCTCTTGTATGTCCAGGAAGCACAACTTGACAAGTATTGTCAAGAACTTGCGCTTACCACGGCCACTGCAAATCTTGCATACACTGAAGATCAGGCAAGTTCTAAGTCCACCAGAGGTGGCTTTCAGCAATCAAGGGGTCGTGGCTCTGGCTCCAGGGGTCGTGGTCGCACCAAGGCACGCAGTGCCTACACTCAAGGAAATCGTCCTATGTGCCAACTCTGTGGAAAGTATGGCCATGCTGTAATCGATTGCTGGCACAAGTATGATGAAAACTTTGAACCTGTGGCGCCTAAGGCTAATTAGCAGACAACACAATCAAAAGATCAACAAAAGAATGAAGCCTCCAGTTCTGCACAAGCCTCTGCATTCCTAGCACATCAAGAGGATTTCAGCCTTCCAGCAAATCTTGAATCACAGGCTTGATTCGCGGATTCAGGTGCATCCCATCATATCACCTCTAGAAACTATCATATTAAACATCCAAAACCATATTGTGGCAATAATGAAGTCAATATAGGAAATGGTAAAGGTCTGAAAATTGAATCTGTATGGTTAGCTCATATTAAGCCTAAGAATGCTTCCAATTGTCTGCTGAGTCTGAATGATATGCTTCATGTTCCTAGCATAACTCGAAATCTGTTATCTGTTTCTAAATTTGCTAAAGATAACAAGGTCTTCTTTGAGTTACATTCTAACAGATGTTTTGTCAAATCTCAGGCATTTAAGGAAGTGCTCTTAGAAGGCTACCTTGATGCTGGAGGATTATACTACTTTCCCAATCTCACCTTGAAGGCTTTTGTGTCACCTGCAGCAAATTCAACTTGTATCTGATCTGATAAGGTTTCAAAATCTTTAGATTCAATTTCCAATAAATTTTCTCTATGGCATCATAGGCTGGGCCATGCTAATTCTATAGCTATTAAAAATGTTCTCAACATGTGTAATATCCCTTTGAGCAATAAAGATAATGTTGAATTTTGTAATTCATGTTGTGTAGGTAAGTCTCATAGAATATTTGCTCCTTTAACTTCTACTGTGTATACTGCCCCTTTTGAATTAATTCACACTGATTTGTAGGGGCCATCACCAAACCCCTCTAGCCAAGGATTTTCTTACTACATAGCATTTGTAGATGTGTATACTAAGTATACTTGGGTCTACTTTCTCAAACATAAGTCAGATGCCCTCAATAGTTTCAAACAGTTTCTTGCCTTTGTCAAAACACAGTTTCATACCACTATTAAGGCTCTTCAGTCTGACTTTGGTGGTGAGTACAGGCCCTTTACTAACCTTCTTAATGATCTTGTCATTGTTCATAGACTAACTTGCCCACATACTTCTCATCAAAATGGTACAGTTGAAAGGAAACATAGAAACATAGTAGAAATGAGGCTAACTTTACTTGCTCATGCTAATCTGTCCATAGAATATTGGGATCATGCCTTTACATCAGCTATCTATCTGATTAATAGACTCCCCACTCATACACTTCCTAAAATTGTCTCCCCTTTTCAGGCTCTGTTTAACAAAATGCCTGACTATTCCACTCTTAGAGTCTTTGGTTGCTCCTGATTTCCTCATTTAAGACCCTACAATAAAAATAAACTCCAGTTAAGAAGCTCTGAGTGTGTGTATCTTGGAATTTCTCCACATCATAAGGGATATAAATGTCTTAGCAAAGAAGGTAGGATTTATATTTCCAAGGGTGTCATTTTCAATGAAAAAGTCTTCCATTTCCCAACATTCAATGATCAACTTCAATCTGTCAAAACATGACCCACTAAGTCTATCCCTTTACTTGTACAAAGCATTACTTTTCTACTCCCTGTGATACTTCTATACCCAATGGTAGCAGGACTACTCAACCTGTCCTGTCCTTGAATAACACACCTCAACACTCTCTTCAAAACTAGTATATGACCATTGAACATAATCATACTTCCTATAATAATCAAATTTCCTCCTCCACTCAGGATGAACCCTTGGATAAAAACACTAGTCCTCTCAGAGTACCTCTTTTCATTCTTAACCCACACAAGATACACCAAATTTCCACACTCATTATACTGAATTAACTAATCATAAT